TGCCCTGGTCAAGGAATATGTATAATATACCCAAATCTATAAATGATGATCTGGATGAAAAATATTTAGATGGTAGACTTATTAAGTGAATATCAGTTTAATCTGTTCCCTATGTTTCTGAAGAATTATATTAATAGCTGGTATTGGGGGGGGTTAACTATAAAATTTTATAAATTTTACTTATTTTTGTATTTGTTCTAATTAGTTATACATAATAGTAGAATGTACCTTGACATACTATACATATATGAAGTATAACTTCTCATTCTTCTGGTTGTACATGATGGAGAATTAAATTGGTCATATAATCATATATGCACATAGGATAGTAATGTCCAATTCATTATACTATCTTTCCTATTCCCATTCCCCCTCCTTGCCCTTCATTCCCCTTTGTCTAATCCAAAGTACTTCTATTCTTCCCTAAACCCTCCCTTACAGTAAATTAGCATCCACATATCAGAAAAAACATTCAGACTTTGGTTTCTTGGGACTGGTTTATTTCACTTAGCATAATATTCTCCAGTTTCATCTATTTACCAGCAAATACCATGATTTTGTTCTTCTTCATGACTGAGTAATATTCCATAATGTATGTATACCATACTTTATTTATCCATTCATCTGTTGAACAACACCTAGGTTTGTTCCATAGTTTAGCTATTGTGAATTGAGCTACTATAAATATTGATATGGCTGTGTCACTGTAATATACTGGTTTTAAGTCCTTTGGGTTCAAACCAAGGAATAGGGTCAAATGGTGGTTCCATTCCTAGTTTTCTGAGGAATCTCCATATCACTTTCCATAGTGGTTGCACCAATTTTCAGTCCCACTAGCAATGTATGAGCGTGCCTTTTCCCCTACATCTTCGTCAACATCTATGATTGCTTGCATTCTTTATAACTACCATTTTGACTGGAGTGAGATGAAATCTCAGTGTAGTTTTAAGTTGTATTTCTCTAATTGCTAGACAGGTTGAACATTTTTTCATATATTTGTTGACCAATTGTATTTCTTATTCTGTGAAGTGTCTTTTCAGTTCCCTAGCCCATTTATTGATTGACTTATTTGTTTTTCTGGTATTAATGTGTTTTGAGTTCTTTACGTATCCTAGAGATTAATGCTCTATCTGAGGTGTAGGTGGCAAAAATTTTCTCCCATTCTGTAGGCTCTTTGTTTATGTTCTTGAGTATTCCCTTTTCTGTGAAGAAGTTTTCTAGTTTGATTCCATCTCATTTATTGATTCCTGATTTTACTTCTTGTGCTTAGGAGTCTTGTTAAGGAAATCAGTTCCTAAGCTGGTATGATGTAGGTTTGGGTCTACTTTTTCTTCTATTAGGCACAGGGGCTCTGTACTATTGTCTAAGAACTTGATCCACTTTGAGTTGAGTTTTGTGCAGGGTGAGAGATAGGGGTTTAATTTCATTTTGCTACCTATGGATTTCCAGTTTTCCTAGCATCATTTGTTGATAGGCTTTCTTTTTGCCAATGTATGTTTTTGGCACCTTTGTATAGAATATATTTACGTGGGTTTGCCTCTGTGTCTTTTATTTTGTATCTATTTTGATGCCAATACCATGCCATTTTTGTTACCATAGCTCTGAAGTATAATTTAAGGTCTGGTATTGTTATGCTTCTTGCTTCACTTTTTTTGCTAAGGATTGCTTTGACTATTCTGTTTTATTTTTCCAAATAAATTTCATGATTGTCTTTTCTATTTCTATGAAGAATATCATTGAGCTTTTAATAGTAATTGTATTAAATCTGTATAGTGCTTTGGGTAGTATGGCCATTTTGACAATCCAAGACTATGGGAGATCTTTCTATCTTCTAAAGTCTTCTTCAATTTCTTTCTTTAGTGTTCTGTGATTTTCATTGTAGAGGTCTTTCATCCTTTTGTTAGATTGATTCCTAAATATTATTTTGAGGCTATGGTGAATAAGATAGTTTTCCTAATTTCTCTATCAGTAAATTCATCATGTTGTATAGGAATGCATTGAATTTATCTGTATTAATTTTATATCCTGCTACTTTGCTGAATTCATGTATGAGTTTTAGAAGTTTCCTGGTGAAATTTTCTGGGTCTTCTAAATACAGAATCATGTCATCAGCAAATTATGATAGTTTGAGTTCTTTTTTTTCCTATTTGTATCCCTTTTATTTATTTCTTCTAATTGCTCTACCGAGGATTTCAAGAACTATGTTGAATAGAAGTGGTGAAAGAGGACATCCATGTCTTGTTCCAGTCTCAGAAGGAATGCTTTCAATTTTTCTCCATTTCAAATGATGTTGGCCTTGGATTTACATATATAGCTTTTCCAATGTTGAGGTATGTTTCTACTATCCCTAGTTTTTCTAGTGTTTTGAGCATGAAGAGAGAGGTGCCATATTTTGTCAAATACTTCTTCTGCATCTATTGAGATATTCATATGATTCTTATCTTTAAGTCTATTGGTGTGATAAATTTCATTATTTGATTTCCATATGTTGAACCAATCTTGCATCCCTTGGATCAACCCCACTTGATTGTGGTGCACTATCTTTTAAATATGTTTTTGTATGCAATTTGCCAGAATTTTATTGAGAATTTTTTCATTATGTTCATCATGGATATTGGTATGAATCTTTCTTTCCTTGATGTGTCTTTGTTTGGTTTTGGTAACAGGGTGATACTAGCTTCATTGAATGAATTTGGAAGAGTTCCCTCCTTTTCTATTTCATGGAATAATTTGAAGGAGTATTGGTGTTGATTCTTCTTTGAAGGTCTTGTAGAACTCAGCTCAGAATCTTTCTGATCCTGAGCCTTTCTTAGATGGCAGGCTTTTGATTGCATCTTCCATCTCATTATTTGAAATTGATTCATTTAAATTGTGTGTGCCCTCCTGATTCAGTTTGGGTATGTCTCTAGAAATTTGTCAATGTCTTCAAGATTTTCTATTTTATTGGAGTATAAATTTTCAAAATAGTTTCTAATTATCTTCTGTATTTCAGTAGTATCTGTCATAATATTTCCTTTTTGAACACAAATTTTAGTAATTTGAGTTTTCTCTCTCTTTCTCTTCATTAGCATGGTTGAGGGTTTATCAATTTCATTTATTTTTTTCAAAGAGCCAACTTTTGTTAATGTTTTTGAATTGTTTCTTTTGTTTCAATTTGATTTCAGCTTTGATTTTAATTATTTCTTGTCTTATACTGCTTTGGGTGTTGATTTTTTTCTTCTTTTTCTAGGGCTTTGAGATGTAATGTTAGGTCATTTATTCATTGACTTTCTATTCTTTTCCTGAATGAGCTCAGTACAATGTACTTTCCTCTTAGCACTGCCTTCATAGTGTCCAAGAGATTTTGATATGTTGTATCACTATTCTCATTTTATGTCTAAGTATTTTTTCCCTTTCATTCCTGATTTCTTCTAGATAGATGGTGTTTACTTCCAAAAATGTCATTCCTCCTCTACTAAAAGTTGTGTGATACCAACCAAGGTACTCGAAGAGCAAGGCTGCCAGCTCTCACTGAAAATGTGAGTTTCAGGTACTCTGAGGTACAGAAACCCAAAAGTCCAGTGTCTGGCTCCTCTAGGATACTTTTCATGTACTGTGAAAATAAGGTTCATTCATTTAACAAGTATTTTATGAGCATTTTCTATATGTTAGGCAGTCATCTTGTGGATGGTGCATTCCCTGAATCTGTTGATCTAGCCCATTCTACCACCACACTTGGAAGTTAAACTTCAGTTCTACATAAAAAGTTTGTGGAAGCATTGTGTGGGGTGTAGAAATAGAAAATTAAGCAAATATTTAAAAGAAGGGACCAGTAGAAATGAAATAGACTGACATTAAAGCCTGCTATAATGATACATACTCTTTGGTGGGTTCCCATATTTTCTCTCCTTTTTAAAAAATATTTCTTTCAGTTGTAGATGGACATATATCTTTTTTATTTATTTATTTTTATGTGGTGCTGAGGATCAAACCCAGTGCCTCACACTTGAGAGGCAAGCACTCTACCACTAAGCTACAACCCCAGTCTTCATCTTTTCTCTTTAATAATAAAAAAAGAGAACAAAGACACCTTGTACTCAAGAAGTTAACCTGCAATTTCAGAAGCTACAGTGGACTTCTGCTCATGGTATCCTCAGGCAGAAATAAGGAAGGGAGAATTTCCAGGGGGCTATGCAATTATGTTGGTTCTTCCCAAATTTGACTGTATACTTCTGCTGTATTCCCTGTTCAGAAAAATAAGAACTCATATGTATTTTTTATTAGTCAGAAACAGTAGTCTATCCCCAAATTCTGACTCTGACTGACAGTGGCAGCAAGAGATGTCTGGAGCAACATCTGAGGACAACCTCAAAGCTGAGGAATGGGGCCTAAGTGCCCTAACCAAGTTGTTACTAAGGGCAAGTTTAACTTGTTTGTACAGAACAGTTTGCTCAGTCTACAAGAAGTCAGCAATAGCAGGCTTTTGCTGTTTGCTTGTGATTTTTCCCTAGATAAAAATCTGAGTTTAGAGTGCCCTGTGCTTGTTCCTTCAAAAACATGAAATTTTGGTGGCTTCATTGATTTACCACAAACATTAAGTGCTTTTCCTATTTACTTTTTTGCAGTTGTATTTTTAGCTGTCACAGCAAATCACTATTGTTGCCCAAAAGACTGATGGTGCCTTGCAATAAAAAAAAAAAAAAAGAAAACTCAGAACAGATAACTTAAGGTCTCATAAATTTCAGAAAGCACATTAGAGAGGCTCCTTTCCCTCTGATCTCAACTTGTAAATTATTCTGACAAACTCATTCGGGAATTAATAACAAAATCCAAAAGGGCTGCACTAACTCTTCTTGGAAATAAGAGCATTTGGTTATCAAATAATTCTGTAAGGTGATATTTGTAATCCAGACCACTCTAGTTCTCTAAATTGAGGCCATTATTTTTCAAACTCGTAGATCAAATTTTATCTGAAGTAAATTTCATGCTTTTCTCTGTGAAAGATAGCAGCCAATGCTTACTGTCATCACCACATGGTATGTCACAGAGTCATTTCCTGACATGGCAGCTTCGTTATATTTGTTCACCTTGCTTTATTATTTTCATCAAGATATGTTTCTCCTCCGTACCATTTTAGTTTGCTCATTTCTTTGTTAATGACTCCGAGGTATTTAGTGAGATTTTCATTTGTACATAGCCAGAATGATCTACTTTGTGAGAAGAGCATAGAAGAAAGATAGTATTTTGTAAGATAAGCCAATAAACTGATGCATGTTTCTACATGTGTTTCTACATTTAAAAAAGTGGCTTTCTCATTATGTCCACAAAATTAGAATTTCTAATATATGTGTTTGAAAAATAACATAAGTAGAAATTTTTATATCATAGAAAGATAGAGTTGAGACCTGTCACCAACAAACTCTGATGTCTTCTGCACATACGTAACAGGGAGGATGTAGAGACTGCTTATTATCTGACCATTGCCAGCATGGAGAATATAATTGACTTGCTCATGCAAATCACCATCTTCCCCACTGTTCAACAGTCCAATCCTACCCATTTGAATAGAGTCCAACTCAGATGCCCCCTTTCTCCATGAAACCTTCCTTGATTGTCCCACGCAACATGATTTTTCCCTCCCTTGCATTCAGTTATATTGACACCCAATCACAAAGCATTCATACACATAGAAGAGGCCTATGGGAAACCAACATTGAAGAATTTGTGAGATATCAGGAAAGGAATAAAGGTGGATACCTATGCCAGGCATGGTGCTACAGGCCTGTAATCCCAGCAACTCAGGAGGCTAGGGCAGGAGGATTACAAATTCAAGGCTAGCCTCAGTAAATTAGAGAGGCCCTGAGAAACTTAGTGAGATCCTTCTTGAAGTAAACAATAAAAAGGGTTGGGAGTGTTGCTCAGTGGTTAAACATGCCTGGGTTCAATCCCCAGTACTGCCCCCAAATGGATACCCCCAAAGTTCTAAATCTAAGCAAAATTGCCTGAAAATATGCCATCATTTTTGGTCCTAGAAATTAAGCTTCCACTATGGAGAAAAGCAAACTCTGGTAATAGACATGTTTACAGGGCCCAAATTTCTCAACATGAGATAACATGGTTGTAAATAACTCACTTGGTAAAACATCTGCATTGCTGACTTAGTTTCATTTCCTCTCCTTTATCCTGTCGAAGATATCTCTTTTTCTGGTCTATTTGGAAATCACCTTCTTGTTTTCTCCCTTTTCATGATCCTTCCCTCATTTCACCTCAAGGGAAGGAGATAAAGAAGAGGCTACCATCATTTATTCTTCCTTCCCTAATCCATAGAGAACACAGAGCTCTGTTGCCATGTCCTCTTGGAACACTGACAGATAAAAGGAACCTCTTACATTATGCCTTCATTTATTTCTTTGCTTGGAACTAGCTACAGCAGTGGCAAGCCCCATGGACTGTCAAAAGAATGGTAGTGGGGAGAATGTGAAAATACAATAGAAACCAAGATTTCCTGCCTGGAGGGAGAATGGAAGAGCAACGGGTAATTCAACAAAGACTTCAAGTATTAAAAAAGGAGCATTTCAATCATTTTTGTACATCAATTAATTAAGGTTAGACCAGAAAGAAATAAGCTAAACTAGTGGAATAAGAAATGAAATTTGGATATGGAAATACTGTTCATAACTGGAATAGAAACAAATTTCCAAGAAAGTTGAACATTCTCCTTGGTTGATATTCAACAGGGTGGGTTTTCATCTGTTGAAAATGGTTAAATGGAGAACAGTACATGACAAAATTTTAACATAAAAATTTAAGATTCTCTGATGACAATAATCAAAACTTTAATATCTAGTTAACACACAGAATCACAATACTTGAAAATTAAGATTAAGAGTAAATATATTCTGAACATAATTATTCCCTCCCAAATGAAGTTAGCCAGTATATCAAGGATGTGATATTGATTTAACTGGGGGTGTCAACTGATTTTATCATTTTAAAGTTGAATAAAAATACCTATTATTATCTGTTACCTTGTACCTCCATTTTAAATATTCTTTACATAGACAGTAAAAGAGAATGCTTTTGAGTAATACATTGATGCAAATACTTTTAGGTCATCAACCAATACCCATTTTAATATAGCAGTGAAATTTATTGTAGCATAGTACTACTAAGCACATCATGTGAAATACAATGAGTAAATCAGTAGAGAAGGTAAAGTTCCAATTAATGGCTTTTGAGTAAGCTTACCCAACAACTGGATTCAAATTTTAAAAATATATGCCATTATAAACTAGCCAATGCTTTCTCTAAAAAATTCCTGGCATTTATTATTTTTATTTCTTATAGTTACATAAGCAATAAATTTTATTGTAAATTTTTGGACAAAAAGAAAAGTACGACAAATTTTTAAAAAATCATTCATACTACCACTATCTAGAGGTAACGATTACCAACATTTCAGAACCCATTTCCTCCAGACTTTGAGGTCATGTTTTATCGGCAGGTTTTCAAAGTCTCTTTCCTCTCTTTCTTTTTTTTTTTTTTTAATTTTTTATTTTTTTTATTGGTTGTTCACAACATTACAAAGCTCTTGACATATCATATTTCATACATTAGATTGAAGTGGGTTATGAA